CTTGACTTTCGATTAACAGAACACAGTCTTACTGCCATTACTGAATTTAATTTTCATTATGTTGCATTTTCAACGCCGATATTTTGCATTTAGTGAATGTTAGTCTTCCTAAAAATAGTCAACAATATACCTTTTTAAACTTTGATTAAAAATGTCATTGAATTTGCTTAATTAAGCAAGTAATTTGCTTCAGCAAATAAAACTGAAGTTTTTCAATTTCTAATGGAATTTCATAGAATTAACGTCTATTAGAAGTGGGCGCTTTTGATTTCTCTATGAACTTGGCCAAGAATCTGTCACTAATTTGTGGAATACGAATTTTAGCAAAAAAAAATAATAATAATAACATAGTTAAAAGGTTTTAAAATATTGTAACTAATATTAAAAAATCTGATTTGACAAGCACAACTTCCCGCCAGTTCCACGTTAAAACACGGAATAGCAACGAGCTTTAAATAAATTATCCTTTGTAAGCCAAAATCTGAGTTATGTTTATTTACCTTCAGCCAAATTTGTTTGCTTTCAGTGAAGGAATGAATTTATATTTTGCATTGATTATAACAGTCTAATTGCATCTGTTCACTTAATTTCCTTAATTGTTTAAAATTGTGTATTTCTTTGTCAATTATGTCAATGTTGAATTGTAATGTAAATGCAAATTTGAAATTGAAATTTCAACGCAGGGTGTATATGTTACGTCATTAGCTACACCTACGTACCTCAGCCCTCTAGCGGCATTTCCTGTATATGCTTAGGAGTAGAATAAAATTATTCATTAGCAGAATACAGTCCATAAACAATCGCTATAGTATCTATATTTGCTATATTATTTCTTTAAAAATAATACATAGCGATAATGTTATGAGGGAGCATCCTTTTATTTGAAAAGTAATTTGACACAAAAGTTAACCGAATACTGAGCTGAGGCTAATACATTTAATTGCTTCGCAACGAGAGCTCATCTTCATAATGAGATTATCCTCATTGCATTTAGCATATATCCAAGAATATATTTAATGTTTATGAGTGTAATAGGTTGTTCTCATTCGCATATACGTATTTTAAGAACAGAAAATTTGAATTTACTATTACCTCATAATATATTTTTAATGAAGAAATGTTCAGAGCTCCAAGTACAGAATGACTCACGGCTTATCAGTTTTAGTTAAAATGTTAGATATTGTTGTCTTTGATATAAAATTCTTAAATACTAAAATTGGAAATTTTGGATTGCATTTTAATACACTTTTTCATTAAAAACTATTGTATTGTGACTTATCTCACTTGTCTGACAGTAATATCAGAATAAACCCACGAAACTCATCGTGGCAAGAAGAGAAAAATTGCGCCTGTCGTTGGCAAGAGCCTTGAGTATCATACAGGTGACAGTACGACTTCGCTCAGTTTCTCCTCCAGTTTTGATGGAAAGCACTACGGGAGGAAGGGGTCCGAGAGTCTCGCGACCCACTTCCAGTACCACCAACCTCTCGAGAGCATTTTCAGATCGACGTATATTTAAGTTCCCCCACGCCGAAAAGACACTATATATTTAAAAACATGCATGCCTTCTCCGGGATTCGAAACCGCATCCTTCGATACCACAGTAAGTTCGCTTAACCACTATATGGTATGGGAGGCTTAAACTTGTAAGGTATATCCTAAGTTTATAACAGTTATATTAAGTTTATTTACCTTCCCTATCTCTTCTAACTTCCCCTTACAATTCCTTACCAGAATGAGGTTTTAGAATTGCGTGAAATGCTAATGAGAAGGAGTAATATTTAAGTCGAAGTTTCACTGACTTCGATAGAGAGAATTAGGATTCTTGAATGCCTTTTGGCTACATCTCTCTGAGCTGTTACTACACTCGGCCGTATTACGTGCCCTTGGTAGCTTCGCTAGCTAATTTAATATTACCGGCCAACTAGTTTAGAAATTATGTTAGCTTCAGCTAAATCTCTTTAGTTAGTCATTAAGTTTTTATTTCTTATATTTTTGAAATTAAGCCCAAGTGGAGGCTTTGTTGTACGTCCTGAGAAAGGGACCATCTGTTAATCTTTATTTTGAGCAATAAAGGGCAATTAACCCTTCTTGCGTTTACGTTTCTGTTTCTGGACTTAAGGGATTATTCGCTTAGTAGTTCACCAGGTTCCTCAACACTTAGTTAATAGATAAAAGTGAGGATCCCTACAAACTATTAATCAGCTTCAAGTAAAGTGTCACTTCAGGTTGTCCAATAAAGACTGTTATGACCCTTATGTAAAGTACCACTTACGTTGTCCAGTTTTACCCAAAATTTAATCAACTCATTATATGAACACAGAAAGCTTAAATTGGAAAACAGATTTTTTTGAAGTTTCATATAAAAGTTATCGTGGAAGAAACGATCATCCACACAGATAGACAGGCATCACTGAAAAAATTGTAAAAATGAGTTGTGAGGAGTCTAATTCGGGTTTATTCACTAAAAACTCACTACAGAATTTTTGATCGTAAATATTACCTCTCTTACCTACCTACGTATAATACGCTAGTGGAAAGTTAAAAATAATAATAATAATAATAATAATAAAAAATAAAAAAAAAAATCTGAAATGTTTCAGATTTTAAATTACGTCCAAAGGGGCGTTTTTTAACATTTTGTGTGTTACCTTTCTTTATTAAATATCATGTTCCTCGCACTTAAACCATAAGATCCAGTTGCAACAGCAATATCGCAAAATAGTTTTTTAAAACGAGCATATCTTTAGAATTTCCGATACAGAGACTCACGCGCTGGAGATAAAAATGTTTTTCTGCACAACGTTGCCATTGCTCGCTTTGAAATCCTTGAGTTTGTTAATCAAAAATTCGTCAAAGTTTTAAAAAATAGGAAATCGATCATAAAACAAATTTCAAATTTTAAATTTGGTCTTCCACATGCTCATATTCGTTGGAGGATTACGTTATTCAAAATTCGATGACTCTATGTACCGTTGTTTTATCACAGTACGAGAAATATACATACATTTATGCAGATTTTTCATTATTTAATTTCTTCAAATATAATGCAGGACTCTAACATTTTGTGGCAACAGTTTGAAAAGTGAACCGACATTTATGAGTCCGACGCAAAATGCCAAAACGAAACTAATAGTCCTTCGGGATTCAAATCCCTTTGGACTAATAAATAAAAGCGTGGGGGGGGGGGTGGAAGAAAGCCGGTTTTAAAAACACCGACTTTGTTTCTTTCCCTGCTCTTTTTACCTGAGTGATCTAATTAGCACAAGTCCACGAACTTTATCTTGTCAAGCAGTGCAAGATAGTGTCTGTTGTTGGCATGGGCCTAGAGCACCATACAAGGTGACAGGGCGACTTTGCCCAGATTCGTCACAGTTTTGACGGAGAGTACTTCTGGGGGACGGTTCCGAGGGTCTCCCACTTCTTTTTCCCTACCATCAAATGGGTTCGCAGCGTATTTGAATGCCTCCCATGCCGCAGAGACACTATACGTTTAAGGACATCCATGCCTTCTCCGGGATTTGAACCCCAGCGAACGATATAGCAGCCAGGAACACCCGATCACTATAACGACCAGGGCAACAGATTAATATTGTCACAGCAATTACCAAAGGAAATCCGGGCAAATGGATATTTTAACGTATTTCACGTTAAAATGTGTGTAATAGCAACCCGAAAGCCGGTGTTAACGGTGAACTGACAAGTGTGATATTTGTGTCATATCTCAAAGATAGCATATCGATTACTGTACAACATAAGAAAAGTAGAGACCAGCTGATAGTAATAAAAGATGCAGTAAAGTTTAGAATAGCATAAAATATTCAGATTTTGGGCTCACATTCGGGTGTTTGGTATATTCCAGATTCACTGTAAGATCGCTCTGCCTCTTATGCGCTAATAGCTAAGCGCAGTTGACGTCATAACCCCAAGCAATTCGCAAGGTCCCAACTGTTGCAACAGTCATGAGGATATTCTGAAAAACTCGGCTCCAGGTTTGAATTATGAAGGCTTATATGTTCGAAGACCGAACAATTGGGTAGTAATGTCCAGAGGACATCGTAAAGGGCTTTTCATTGCATTTCAGGAAAACTGGAAATGTGCTACAGAACTCCTAAATTACTTGGTACTTGCCACGGCGTTGGGAGGTTTATATGACAGTTTAAAAATATGGGCATATTTCCTACTGAAAAGTTACACTTTCTGTGAATTGTTCAGTAGAGTTCAGATTGTTTCTGGATTCATCCATGCTTCAACTATATCCACCTTTCTACATGTAACTTGAAATAACCTTGTTATCATTACTTTAGTTTGTTATTTCTAGCCTGGTGATTATTATTAGCTTGCGTTAAATATGGAAAATAAACAGTTTATCGTATGTGTTTGCGTTCAAGTGCAATTTTCACTACAAACTCAAAAATGGAGCTCATCCTCAAATTTCTGACATAAGCAAAATTTCTTTTTACGTAATTTATGACTTTTAGCTTTTTTTTTAAGTAAACAAGTATTATTTTTCATCTTCTGAGTTTGCTTAAATACGATAATGCACCTTATTTTCTTTGTATCGGTAAGACTGCGTTCCGTTGCGTCGTTAATATTGTAATTACTATCAGTTGTAATTGTCTTGTATGCCAAAAATACCTAAACATTAAACATTATGCACTGACTTAAAGTAAAAGTTTGGCAGACAGCTAAGGAGGCTTTTCTTGCCTAAAAAATTTTTTCTTAAATACAATATCAGCATAATCAATTTTCGAGAATTAATTTCTTTAATATAATTTAATATCTATATGTAATGCGAATAAAAATTGAGTAACAACTTTTTTTGATGCACGAAAAAAATTTAAAGAATGAAGAACATCATATTTTCGGAATCAAGGATTTAAAAACCAAATGAAGCTTAAATAAGTATGTTATCTAACTTCATTCGACCTCTACTTATCGTATACTTTCAGACATGTTTTTTATCTCATCTTTTTTCCTTCCGAGTTCTCTTTTTACCAAGGATATTCAGTGCGTTTGCACTGACAATTATCTTTTTAATCTGAGAGGATGTAGTAATAATATTAACAGCCTTTTATAAAAGGCTTTTATTGAACGAACTGTCAAAATAATACGGATCTAACTTAGCTGGAGAAGGTTGTAAGTATATCAGGCGATTTTCGTATCTTAATGAAATTTCTTCTAAACGTTATCCTTAATTTCGCTTCAAATTAAACAAAAATTTAGTGAATTGCTTTGTTATGTTTATTTATCTTTATGTTCGATTTATTTCTATTTACATGTTTCTTCCATAGCTTAATTCTTCGTCTTTATTCTTTGATTTCTGTTACGCTTATTTTATAAGGCTTTATCGCTCGAATTCAGCTACGTGTAAAATTTTGCTAATTATTTTTGTATTCCATTTATTTTGTATTTGAATTCCATTACAAAACTTCCAGTTGTATGAAAAATACAGTTATTAGAACTTGCTTCTTATTATTTCGTTTTTGAAAATTCATATTCATATTTGCTTTCCTTTCAGTAAGGAATTTATTTGTATGGTACCTTTATAGATTTAATCTTAAAAATAATCACAGAAATTAAAATAGTTCATTCTTAGAATAGTTAGTTTAAAATTTCTTTCTGCAGTTTTGACATCAATAAGTTTGAAAGTTATCAGAAATGCTGCCAATCATCCTATTTACAAAATGTAATAATTAATAAAATATTATCTTCCAATAATATTTTAAAATAAATTGTATTCAAGAAGTTGAAATGAATGGATACTTGTTTAAAATTTTGAAAAGTAAGTAATGAAGTAACTTAACTAAATAGTTTTACATAAAATATTGACAAATAAGGTTTTTAAAAGCTGAACTGATTTTGGTATTTGAAATCAAGTAATGTTTAATTATTTTTAGTGTCTCTTAGTTTTTTTACAACTCTCACATTTGCTTTCGGACACCTGTGTTTTTCTATTTTCGTAATAAATATCAATAAAACGACTTTTTTTCCCTTTCACATACATTATTCATAATATTTTGTAAAACCTGCTTGTTTTCAATAACGTTATTCAAAATTGTGTGAGTTTAAAAGAAAATGGGTTATTTAAAATATTCTCAAGCTGAACTAACAGAAGTAGTCGGACACTTTGAACAAACAGTTTATGTTTAGTAAAAACATGAAAGAAACACGATATTCAGTATTTCATAAGATATCATTTATCTAAAATTACACTTTTCATTCATTCTGGCATGGATTTAACTAAAGTTTTCATATAAGCATATTTGGTTTTGTTAGTTTCCTCTGTAATAATTGTTTTTAGTAGAGGTTTCGAAGAAACGTCATATTTTGATATTCTTTTCTCCAACTCATTCTATAGATATTCTACAGGATTTATGTTCGAAGAGTATGAGGAATTTTGGTAACTTCAGTTTTATAATAATTGTTGTATAACAATTAAGAACATCCCATACAATGATATCTTGATATTTGTAAAACTGAGTTATACAGAGCGTTCCAGCAAATCGGTTATAAATTTCAGGAGAGATTGATCCTGAAATTTATAACCGATAATCATATACCAATGCAATGGAAAATCATATACCAATGCATGGTTGGAAATGCTTTCATGGTGCGGTAGGACAACACCAAAAAACAAGAAAGGAAAAACATGAACAGGGTGAGGGAAAATGTTTATTATGCTTAGTACAGCAGAAAGCAAGAAATAAGAACAAAAATAGACAACGATCGAAATTAAAGAAGGAATTCGAAGTTACGATCCCGGGCAGTGATGCAGACCTCACATCTCCGGCGCATGGAAGATCGCATAGAAGATGCATTACGCACAGTTCTTGCATAACGGTCCGGGGTAGTAATTTCGAACACTTTTTTTGATGACGATTGTTATCTGTTTATGTACTTATTTCTTGGTTTCTTCTCTACTAAGCCTAATAAACAAGTTTTCTCACCCTGTTTCGTGTCCTTCCTTTCTTTTGATTTGTCTCGTCACTACCGCGCCAATTAAAATTGCCCGATATATTACCCCCTAGCGACCTATTCACTCAACTAATCGAAATAAAATTTCAGATATTGTTATTTGAAGGTATACGCTTGAGATTGTAATGATTTAAAACAACAGAGCTCTTAACTGTTATAGTGAAAACATTTCGAATGTCAACACCCACTTTTCCAATTTTTTCCTGCGAAAATTAATTAAAACAGGGAAAACCCATAAATGGCGTTGCGACGATACACATAATGACGAAACTTTCTGGCGTAAAACATTTGAAAAGAGATCATCACTATTCCTCATCAGATATGATGAAGATAGTAGGTTACTACTGCGGATATCATGAACGGATGAGGAGTATTTCTCCTGAACTGGAAACGTAAACAAGGACTGCATTCATTGAACTGACGAAAATTTGGCACCAGCGCTCTTACATGAAATTAAGTCACTGTGTGGTGCGGCATGGCAAGCACATTCATTCTCCATCAGTACTTGTTCGAAGGGGTCACTTCCACATGTATCGAAGTACTCCATCACAAGTACTCGGTGTACAACAATGTTGCAGAATTACGTAAATTCAGAATTGCAGGAGCGAAATATCGTTAATGACATTGTACAGATACAAGATAGTGCTGCTCCGCACATTGCCCCATGTGTTCGGCAGGTGCTGCAAAAGCACTTAGGAGATCAAGCCATCTCCCTTAACTTTGCGGTTTCATATACCGCGATCCCCTTTCCCAATTTCTAGTTTTGGAGATATCTGAAACCTAAGGATCAAATCCACGAGATTTGTCAGAATGGAAAGATGCCACAAAACGTGAACGAATTGTTTAAAATGGCTAAATGAAATAACTTAAATGGTAGAAAAAATTACTCTTTTATTATTTCGTTGTAAAATAATGCTACACGAAGATTAATGCTCTTATGTAACAAATAAAGACTTAATTGGTCAAAGCACAGTTGGACATTAATTTCATTAAGGCACTTGTTCGCAAGGCTATACACAAAGCTTTATGTCAAAGACATTTTTTAAAGAAATGCTTATTAAACTCAACAGTTTCATACCAAAGTTTCAAGAATATTTAGTTAGAATTATTTCCAGAAACTGGCTAAAATTAAACTAACCTTTCTTCTTATCTATTTCTATCCTACAACTGCCACATAATAGTATTATCCGAAATCTTAAAGTTAGGTTACAGAAAGTTATTGTTTGAGCCGTAATTGCCAACTCTATTTAATAGTTGTTGCTGAGGAAATGTATTCCTATATCGCAGTAACATTTCATAGAGTTAGTAAAATCTTCTGAAAGTAAAATCCAAGAAAATGCTTTGAGATTTTACGAATGCTATTTAGTAAAGAAAACGGAATAATTAAGTTGAAAAACATCATAAGTACAATATTCATTACCAAACGGTACTTCTTTCTGAATGCATTTCGTAATATATGGATGGGTATAATATAAATTAAAATTAAAAAAATTCTGAATTTTGTTTGTCAGTAAATTGTATGCATATTGTTATTAATAAGATATAAATAAGATGATTTCGTTAGATAATTTTAGTGTTAACATCGGAGATATTTCATCTGAAAATCTTTTTTTAACTTAATTATACAAGTAAAATTGTCCTTAATAAAATTGTACAAGTATACTTTCAAGGCCTTTTACCTAGAACGGTTTTCAGGTTTCCTGAATTACCGTTTTTTTTCTTACCTATTTCATCTGAAGTATTACAGCAATACATGTTCGTGAGCATACGCATATTTGTCTCTCATTTTAGTTTAACACAGATGAAAATGAAAATACCGAAGAATATCCTGTTACGCTGTTCTCGCAGTGATTCAGTCGAATTGTTGACTTTTTTCAAAAGTTGCATTCGAAAACAAACTACATATGTGTTCGACGCTGTTTCACCTGAAGCTCTGAACAATGCTCGCCCGTTTGAAGAAATCCCGGGACCTAAAGCCTTGCCGCTGATTGGAAATTTGCATAGATATCTGCCAATTACAGGTGAATAATTGTTTTCTTTGTTGCTTAACACTGAGCATAAATAGTAAATGGATTTCATTTTCACATTTTATATATTTATGACTTTATTATAATTTTGTTTTTAGAATATTCATAGTATTTAATATGAAAGATAATAAAGAAAGTTTCGTCTTTTGTGATCGTCAGAAACAGACAGACATAGGGTTTATATTACTCAGCGTTAGGTCTCGAAGTTTATCGTTATGTTTATCATCCAGTATACTTTGAAACGATTCTGCAAACAGCTGTTCTGGCGATAAATCATAGCTGAACGAACGTCTGGCGATAAAACGCATGGCTCATGGACGCAAAGAAGTCCATCACTGCATGCTGGAAGTCAGTCTCATTGCTGAAGAATTTCCATCGAAAATTTTTTGCTCAGAAAATGAAACTGGTTTTTAACGCTAGGTCCGTCGAGCAGCCAGATCACTAAATGTATGTCTGGTTCTCTTGCCATTGATGCTGTCGCATTGTAGTCAAGTTACAGTACAAATGCCCATCAACTAATGCTGGCTCTTTCTGCTGCAATGCATGATGCACCTGTGGTAATTGTTGCGAGTACATCAGTGATGGTGTAGCCTTGTGGTAGTAGCTCGTAATGCAGAACTTAGCAACTAGTGTACCAAACACAGGGCATGATCTTGCGTGGATGCAGAGGTGTAAAGCACATGTGGTGACAACACATATCTGGTGCGCTTGAGAGTATCATACTGAAACCGACTTTCATCACTCGTGAGCACGCGACCAAATGCGAGTGTGTTGCGGTGTCTGGACAACAATTACAAGCAAGTTTCACACGTTGTTTCTTGTTAGCTGCTGACAATGTATGGGATATCCACTTTCTCAGCTTGTACACCTTCCGTATCCTGTGCAAGTGAGATCCAAATGTTTCCTCGAAAATATGGAAGCATTCAGTGAATTCACCATACTTTTGACTGCTATTCTCTACGGCTGCCGTTAGAACTTCGTGATTTAACACCTTTTGTCTCCCAGTGGGGTATACATTGAAAAATCTCGTACCTTCCGACCTGAACTTCTGAAACCAGTGCCTGGTTGAGCATTCGTTTACCGCATCCTCCTGAAATGCCTGACATGATTTACAGTTTGAAGTGGATGCTAACAGGCACATTCAAAGTCATATAACAAATTACCGAGTCCGAGCTGCGAAGCAGCTGTATGATTCTGGATGAGCTCTGATTGCTACGTATCCCCAACATGCCTGTATTAGTGTAGTTCAGTAGTTACACTTCCTTTCCATCGCTTTTTCGGCGAGTAAAATACTTCGTTTCCTTTTTGTGAGCGTTTTATCAAGTGGGATGTCAAAGCACATGAATGGTTTTGGCTACCTTGTATCTGTAACAAATTTAACTAACATTTTCCGTAACACTAGAAATGCAAGTCATAAAAATTTAGCGTTAGTTAAAAATTTCAACTACATTTTAAAGAGGAGGATGCGGTATATTATGAGCATTCTGAAAAAGAAAACACGTGATTCACAGAAATAAGACGTAGTTTACGAGGCGAGCAGAGATATGATTGTACTAAATTTAAAAATTAGCGCGAAGTGCTGGTAAATTTACTTTATGCGTTAAGATCACTATATGTTATGTTTTAGAATTTTAATTTTTACTTTATGCATTAGGATCCCCATACGTTTTAGTATCTGAAATTTTTACCTTGCTGTTTTCATATATTACAAATAAATGGTGGAATTCATGACTTTTTATTGCTGAGTTGGATACACATCTTGACTTTCTTGACTCATAGAAAGGTATAGAATATAAAAAAAACCTATGTTCAAAGATTTCGAAGAAATTATTACGGCAGTTTTATTTAAACTGCAAAAATTATTATTTAATGACTTTCGAAATAAAATTAATCTGATTTTATCAATTTTACTTCAGTGCTGATTCGTTTCTCAAGTATATTAGTAAAATGCCTGTTTTTATATTTACCATAGACTGGCTATTGCGACGTTTTACATAGCTTGAAAGGTCTAAAAACGTTGACTCCGCAAAGCCATCTTTATAAAAAGGAACTCAGAGGCGAGAATGTGAAAAATCTGGTAAGTAAGAGTGCTGTGGCATGATAGCAAGTTTCTTGTGATTAAAAAAAAAGTCTTACTTCTTTGGTCTCAAGACATAGTTTAATTCCTTTTATACTGCAAGCATGAGCTACGCTTTCCATGATGATGACCTTTCATAGCGCTTTTCTTCCGTGCAGAAAACATTGTACACCTCACATGGCTGGAATTTTAGTGAATGTTTTGAACAAAGATTTCATACTATTGATTCAAAATTATCGTTATTTAAAGTTATAATTAGAAACTACTATGGAACTTTGAAAAGCTGATACTAAAGGCAGTTTCGTGCAAGCGAAAATTTCAGATAATGCGATTTTTCGTTTGCGCTGGAAAGTACCTGAAATACCCTCACTTAAGAATTAAGAAGGAAAGATGAAAACTTCTGAGTGCATCAATGATAAAAATTGTTTTGATGCGTGGGGAATGATGGAAAGTGAAAAAAATCAATAATTCGTTTTTTTCAGTCTTATATTTGTATCATAAAAATGATAAGAAATCATATAGTCCCGATAACTAATTAGTACGAAGAATGCAATTACTTAATTTTGACAAACTAAAAGTTATCTACTTTTAGATGACACATTTTACTTGAAAATAATAACGAAAGGTTTAAAAAAAAAAAAAAAAAAAAAAAAAAAAAAAAAAAACTTTTTTTTTTTCATTTCAGAAATTCTTTCTTTTTTCAATAGCAGAAGTATTTCAGGATGTAAATGTATTTAAAGACCTCATGTTTTTAAGAAAATACGTTAAACATTTTAGAACATGGAACAAAATGTCAAATTTCAAATAGCTCAGTTCTGTCTTATCCAAAATAAAATTGAATATTATTATAGCTTTGAATTTAAAATTCGCCTTCAAGTATCTTTGAGACATTCACGAGAATGAAAGGGAACTCTCACCTGGGAACATTGAAAAGATATCGAAAAGAGAATACCGCAAATTACGTAAAGGAGGTTTTTGGGAAAAGATATTCATCATTTGGGAATAAAAGAGATAATACTGTCTTCGATTTTCTAAAAATGTACACATTTTGTATTGTGTAATGTCTACGTTTAGCACTTCTAATGCCACTAACATCAGTTTTAACATGGGTGCTGGTTATCGAAAACTGCTACAGTTGTCTGGTAGTTATTGTTTTATGCCTTATGGACAAAAACTCTTTTAAACACTTTTAGGATTTGTTTCAGATCACTTACTCTTACTTGACTAGTAATCGAATTTTAAAGTTTTTCTATTTTCGAGACATAAATACAGATGCGAATCTGGATCTCTTAAGCCCTGTTGTCTTAGTAAGAGCTATGCCAGGAGAGTACCAAGAGTTCGTTCGCATTTGCACTCTTATGTACCTCTCGTTTATGTTTCGTAATTCTCAATATTTAAAGATATTACTTCTAATACCACTAAATATTTGAACTCCATACTCTGCTAATGTTGGTAAAATTCAAAATAATGCAACCACTGTAGGAAGTGCATACGTTGGCTTACATTTGGAATGGTGTATTAGCCAAGTTTTTTAGTTTCATTTCATAACTATGCAGATTTTTCAAGTAAAATAACACTGAATTCTTTTCAAATCTTCGTGAATAAGCATTCTATTTACTTATTAACTACTTTCTGACACAGGTGAATATTCGAAAGAAAAATGGCACGAAACGCAGAGAAAAAAGTTTGAGGAATTTGGCCCGATCGTTCGCGAAGTAATCGTACCAGGATACAACATGCTTCATCTTTATGATCCTAAAGATATGGAAATTGTTAGTAGGAATGAAGGTAAGTTAATCTTCGTTGCTTAGCAAAATATAGATTATTTATAGAAATATCACATACTGTTTATGTAATGCTCTTAATCAAATGTTTTTGAAGGGCGTTATCCAAGAAGGGATTTCTTCCTTGGTATGAGAGCTCTTAGAGAAGAAAATCCACATCTGTATTCTACTGTTGGAGTTGCTGCTGGGTAAGTGCATACTAATGATAGCTTATAAAGCATATTCCGATAAAGATGATATCATTTTAAAACGAAATGACAACCTTTCTTAGAATATTATCACTTTCACTGATTATGTTTGTTTGGTATTCTCTGAAAATTAATCATGGTTAAACACAAACTACAAGAACGTTAATTTTTTGCAAAACATTATCTTCTCAGATGAAATAAATTTTTTCTTGATTGGATATGCTAACAAAAAATATGGTTTCGGAGTAAAAACAATCTTCAAGTAATTCACGAGAAGCCCTTCAATTTGCAAAATGTCAATATATGGTGTGGTGTATGGCATAATGCCATCATGGGACCATTTCCCCCTCAAAGCAAGGAAGGAGATGCAGTTATAATGATTGGTGAGCGATACTGATGGATGACAACAACTTTTTTCTGAATTAATTTGGAGAACATGTGGTTCCAGCTATACGATGCCACATATGACGCTTCAAACGCCACTATCGATGTACTGCAAAGAAGTTTGGTGAAAGGATAATTTCACTAAATGCAACTGTTAGTATGTCTTTTTTAATGGTTGTGATTTAAGGGGACTCATACACCTTAAACCCCTCATGATTTTCGAATATGTGACTGTTGCAAGAATTGGGATATTTTATTTATTTTAAAAGCAATTACTTCCAACCTTTTACAGCTGACTACATAATATAGTTGCTTTGGAAACTAGTAACCAGAAAGTTTGTGTTGCCACAAATATTTTTGTAATTTAATCCTCTTTGCGACAAAATATTTCGTCATGTTTTCACCTTGCGCGCATGATATTTTAAAAATGGGTAATGGTGCGTACTTGAAATTCGATGGAATTCTTTATATGAGCACTATTTTTTAACTGAACCAACAATCTGATGAATATTTTAATACTGAAAAATTTTATGGGCGAAAACATTATAAATTTTGTTAATAAAATGCATTTTATAAACTCAATTCAAAATAAAATAAAAATTTAACGTGAAATTTTTAGAATTTTAGGTTCACAGTAGTTTTCAAATGTTATAAAAGCTATATATTAAATATGGACTTAAATTATGAAACAGAATGTCTTAAACTGTGCGCGCAAGTTGGAAACATGACGAAAAATGTTGTCACAAAGCGGATTAAATTATAAAAATATTTGTGGCAACACAAACTTTCTGATTGCTATTTCAGAAAGCAGCTATATTATGTAGTCAGCTGTGAAAAGTTGGTAGTAATTGCTTGTAAAATAAATAAGTTATCCCAATTCTTGCAACAGTCACCTATTCGAACATCTTATGGGTTTTAAGGTGTATGAGTCCCCTTAACTCCTTTAGATTTTTTTTGAAGTTATTTGAAATCAACAGTCTATGCGAATAACCACAAGCCCTTGAAACATTAAGAATAAACATCGAATGCTACATTCGTAATATCAAACCCGAGGTATTGCATACAGTCATCGAAAACTTAGTTCATCGAATTCGCTTGTGCGCTCTAACTCGAGGTGAAACACTTTAATGATGTTTCACTCAAAACATAATGTCATAAATTGTACTTCAAAATAATATAAAACATTTAGTTCTATCTGAAGTAATTTTACTTTGATTTCATTTTAAAATCGTATCATTCTTATTGAAAGATCCTATATGTGTATGGCCTAAAGATTAAAAATAGCAAATAAATATCTGAAACGTTTTTTAGGATTCAAAATGAAATAATTCGTTGCTATATTTAGTTACATCAAAGAGAATAGTTCTTACTACAAAAAATTGAGGAAAACCAGTTTTTTTTGTAAAAAAAACATACTAATGTCATATTATGGGTTTTTATTTGAATTCTGTTGTAAAAGTGATTAAATAATTTAACAGTTTTAAACATTTGAATGACTAAGGTCCTTTCACTTCATCAGGTTTACTCATCAAGTCCTGATAAAACACATTTTGGAAAATAAAATATTTTAAATCAGTTTACATTTAAAGGAATCTGAAAAGGATCGAAAATTGATTCCTAAGATTCAGATACTAATATCTACGGGGAGGTGATAGGCGTGCTTCAGCTCGGCTGCCTAAGGCATGCCACATATTTTGAATTTAATTCAAGTCTGGTTAGTATGCTATCCAGTCCATTCGTTTGAGACTTTCTGTTCTTTCAAGTATTCTGACACGAGAAATATTTGACTAGGGCAAGCAAAGATGTATACATATATAATTTGTCTTCCGTTAGCAAACACGCTGGGTGAACAGCTCTTATAAATGGATTTAAACGGAGTTCTAGAATATTCATAGACATATATATATATATATATATATATATCCGTTTACAAAGTCTCCATCGAAGGTATACAACTGAGCTAGGCCTTTTCTGAGCCCCAGAACAACCCAAAATCATGAAAGCACTTTAGGAAACAGGACCTTTCATAAACAAAGGAAGATAAATAATATGTTTTTCTCTCTCTCTAGATCAAAACATATTTAGAAACATAATGCAGATTATATTTGGCTCCACTGAACATGACGACAACACAAACTTTAACAGGCTTTGTAGCTGCCTAAACTTCTAAAATTGATTCTTTTGTAGTCACTTCACGGACAGTGACAAAAAACGATTTTCGGATGAAGCTCTTGGCCGCCCTTTATCAAGTTAGTTGCTAACTGACTGCTTAAAAACGCAGTTCCAAGTTATTTATATCACAATTTGAGGGAAATTAGTTAATCTACACTATGCTCTTTGCTTAAATGATGGCTTTGAATAATAACTAATGAGTAATTATCATTTTCAAAAACTACATTAACTTTAAACAGCACTAACGATTCGACCTCCAACATGCATGCGTTGTACAACATATTGCCAGCCTCCTAATTTTCATATTTCATGCGTTAGTATATATGCAGAAGTCTACTTTTATGACCATTTACGGGTAATTAAGATAAAAAATTTCACCATTATTGGACAATGGTCAAAATTTTAATCAGTGTGTAGGGTTTATATTTATTTTAACTAACATTTATTTTAAGTTTAAACTATCTTTCCTGTCAAGCCTTACTTTCCCTTGGAACTGCCAATGCCAGAGTATGTAAATGTTAGTAGAACGCGCAAGGATTCAAATTATCAGCGGAAGTATTCTGAGTTAAATAGAAAGGAAACGAGTTCGAGGTGTGCTGTTCTTACTTCACGAGCGCGGAGGTAGTTGGTCAGAAATTGAAGAACCACGCGTTTCGGCCTGTGTTAGCAGCGGTATTGTAAAACGCGGTGAGGTTAGTTACGTTTAGATAGCCTCGTAGTTAGTCTCTTGTTATTATTTCTTTTCAGGTTCTTATTTTTTATTTTAACCGCCGGGTCGGCGTAGTTTGTGAGCGTCAAGAGCACGCATTTGTAATTTCTAAAGTTGAATAAAAAGGGACTTAAACCCTCCGCAGGACTCTGTCTAATTTCCAGTTTCAGCTGTCACCACTTGGTTGCGTGCAGGTTGGAGGCGCGCAACTGTACAAGTGAGCACATTTTTTTTCATATTATCGTTTAAGGGAAATCGCAACAATGGTCATTTTCGATATACATTTTCTCAATATCTGCTGTAAATACATATTTTAAATTTTTTGTGTAATTAAAATACATCTATCTAATTACACTGAAGTGAGCTTTGGAAACATTTTGAGGTTTAGTGTAATTTATAGAATATTGTATTAGGCATAGCAAAATTTAGCACTTTTCTCACAAAAAAAAAAAAAAAAAAAAATTACTGAACAAATTTTTATAGTTCATCCAAGAAAAAAAACTTATTTCAGTAAATATTAGGAAACGTAATAAATAAGCCATGAAAATTTACATACCTGTGAGCAGTAGTTTCTGAGAAAAGGTACATCAAATATAAAAGAATCACATTTGGAGAAAAACGTATTTTTATGTAAAAATCCTCATTTATCAAAGCATTCGATGATAAATAGAAACTAGATTTTTTTTACAGTTCTAATTTTCATAGAGGTTAAAGTATTTTTAGAAAGTTAAAAGAGTGAAAAGAATTTGAAAATGCAAAAACCCCAAATCACCATTTTTGAAAATGTATGGTTTCCAACACTCTTTAACAAGCAGTATACAATGCAGTTTATTTATCCCTGAACGCGCATAAAACGTTATCTGAAGCAATAAGTCTGAAAATATTTGAATATGAGAAGATCTTTATATTTCGCTTGCAAGTATATATAAGTTTTTGATTTTTCAGTCAATTAGAATTATTTTAAAAAGAAGGCATAATTTAATATATTTATACATACGCTAAGACTGGCAAAGAACGCGAAAACCTACGAAAATTTCAAAACTTTATAAGAGCCAAACAGCTACTTATAACGAAGAGAGGTTTGCACTGAAATGAAGAAGTTGGATTTTTCTCTTTGAACGGGCGGGCCATCATTTTATTTAAAGAACGAGTGTTGTAGTGTCTTGGCAATAATGATTGTAGTCAGAATAATGTGAGAAAAGAAACGAATTATAATTATCATAAAAGTTAATTTTTCAGTGTATCTTCTTGGATCAGAAATCATTTAGTATAATTATATTGTTGTTCTGATTGCGTTCGTTACGGTCCATACCAATCATTATTGTACAATACTATCTATTGACGAAAGTTTGAATTAAATGTTCCTCCTTCGACAGGTAGGGATAAAAATCTTCTTTCCGTTTAAATTTCGTGCAAGCAGCTTTCCGCTACAGTCATTTGTTTGATTGTTATAAATTTTTGAAATCTTTAGCGAATTTTTAAAATACCTTGTAAATGATATTATTGCAGAATCCCCCGTCAGTTTTTTACATTCGTTGAATTAATTTCCTGTCCAAGAATAGGCAAGTAGAAAAGTGATTATTATACAAAAGTCTTGAAATGGTTTCTATAGACCCGGTAAGAAAGCACATATAGCAGTTATCATATTTTCGAATGGGTCGCGACTGCACACCTGTCGTAACGCACAAATGTAGCCCTTCTTTGTAATTTTTAGAAAATTTCATTACAGGACGGGATCCTGCATTTCCAGTAGCAGGTGAAAGCAGTTTTAGGCATACAGGATGTCACGACAACAAAAAATATCTTGTCGACTTTAAACCGCTCCTGTGATTTCGTTTATTTTACAAACACAGACAGGTAACAGAATTAACAGCATTTTTATCCATATTTTACTCTAGATATATTGATACTTTAAAAACAAGTTACTGAATTCGTTTGAATGAATTATTTAGAAAGACTTTAGTGGCTTTTATTTTACCTGTGACCATGGGGAAAATATGCAGACTGATTTGAAGGGAAATTTCGTAATTTTTTTTTTTTTTTTTTAATTTCAAGAAATGTTTCAGCTTTCAAAATTAATTTCTACACGGAAAAAAGTAGTAGTTTTTTAGTCATATCAGTTTGTGCTAACACTAAAATGAGATTCTCAATAATGTTAATACCTTGATTTTTTATTTTACTGCTTTTTTTCAGTAATGGGGAAGACTGGTATCTAATCCGAAGTCGATCTCAAAAGGCTATGATGCGACCCCAGATCATGAAAACATATCTGCCCCAGATGAATCTTATCGCCGATGATCTGATTCGCAGAATTCGTCTTCTTCGTCAAGCTAATCACCAAGTACCCAAGTTTATGGACGAACTCTTCAAGTGGGCACTCGAATGTAAGTAAATTTTGACCGAGGCAAACTATTTTTGTACTGTACCTCTTAATTTTCATGAAGCTTATCAAGCTATGTCCTTCAATATTTATTATATGCGCCTTTTTCTTTTTGCGTCATTAGTATGCACAAAGGCTATCATATATGCGTATTGTAATAAGATATGTAAATTGCAAATAATTTAAAAGATTGTTTTATTTAATTGCGGTAAAGCAAACACGGGCTACTTACCTCGGACAAGGGTACTTTCATGAAGAACTCTCTGACGAGAACTATATGTCAATTCTATATGACGCATATTTAAGTACATAAATACAGAAAACCACGAAAATGGAAGTATCTTATCTATTGAAAAATCATCGAGAATAGAACCCGGGGCAAAACGTAAAGCTGTAATCTAGGTTACTGTTGTGTGGTTACAGCCTCTTGACTATTGGTAGGCATATGATATACATGCATTGATTATGCTTACATAAATATACAGTAAATATATATATAAGGTGTATATTTAGTTTTTGCGTGAGGGTTGAAAGAAGGGTTCATTGAAAAAATTTCTATATATCTTGAAGGTAATCTGATACTAAATCTGACTGAGAAAAACTAACATTTAATATGCATTTTTTAACCATAAATTTAGAAAAGTAATCCATATGTTATCGTTATTTATTCTAAAACTTCAAGAATTAGATTGCATGCCAATGAATTAGAAGTTAATACTTCGTGTTCCCGCAAGTATAAAATAATTTAGCTTTCGAAATAGCAACAAATACAGAGATATATTATCAAGTACCATAATTTCAGCCTATAAACTTCATCGCATCCTACAGTAACAGTACAAGGAAAGCCTGACTATTTTTAATTAGCTAAGCGTTTTTTACCACAGAAGCGTTTTGGTATATTAATTGTCATGCGTTTTAAGCAGCTGTTATTATATTGTGGCAGTCTGATGTTCGACTATGTGCGCAACCAGACCACGTCATGTGGTTTACGTAAAAACTACCAGCACGACGGTCAACTCACCTACTTCGCCTGCGTAGGATGTTCATTATGCTTAACAGTGCTTAAGAAGCGAGTAGAAGAGGCGAAATAATTGGTTTGGACATAGCAACTCATATACTGCCGATTGAATTCATTGTTTTCTTATAGAACTCTGTTGCATTCAGAAGTGTAGCCTTCTCTCATCTACATTGATGATATTCTTCAGGAATATTTCATCACGAGCATGTTAAAGACGCAAACGCTTTGAGCCAGCATCGACACATTTCACTTTGGGAAGTTTCGAAAATGTAGGCGACAGAACTCTTTTAAGCTCATTATGGATGATGTGATGGATTGATCGAACACTATAGTCTGACAATGGTGCCACTTTCTCGACTGATTTTGTGATACATCGGTCTTCCTATATCATGCTTTCTATGGTTGTAGTGCAAGCTTCGTGAGTGCTGAACTCCTGGGCGGCAAGGATTTTTATGTGTACAACTTTTCATATGTTCATCTTTTCATATGTACAACTAATAAACTTATAACCGTATCGAACCGTATGACGACGTACTTATAACCGTATGATGACGAAACTGTATAGATTTTATTTACTTGTTAAACAGAAATTTCTGAATATTTTATAACAACATTGGATTGAAGCACGAAGTGGGAAAACTCAATGATGGATTCGAACTCTTGATCTTCCACTTACTATCTAGACATACTACTACGTAATTACACCACAATAGTACACAAGAACGATCACAATAATTACCTCCTTATTAGATCATAGTGTTTAAAGAGCCAAACAGTTTGCGAGAAAAATATAATTCTTGCTAATACAATGGAGAGCATTCTAATACAGCGCATATAAACATGTGGAAGCTTTAGTTATAACTTAATATTAGGTAAATGGTGATTTAAAATTAAATATTACATTTTTGTCCGAATATGCTTGTTAATTTTAAATAAATCAGCTAAATAATAGTTGATTTGTCTTAATTAGCTTTTAAAACTAAATTAATGAAAATACGTTTCCAGTTGAGCTTTAATTAAAGAAATAACTTTCACGTGTAATTAAATAATGTTGTTTAGTTTCAAAAGATATTTAGGCTCAAATTTTTATAATTGAATGATTTTTCTAATGCAGTTATGAAAATTTTCCTTACGCTCTTCTAGAAAAATTGATGTGAAAATAATTGAATTTAAACGTGTAAACAATATATCACAGGCAATGTTTCACTGTTTTCGCAGACGGAAACGTTATTTCTTCGGAATAGTAAGCCTTTTTCCAGACATAATTTAGTTCTGTGGGAAAATATTTTTCAGATTTTGGAGATCGAATTCTCAACTTTCCTCCAAACATCAAAAGCTTCAGATTAGAACTCTAAATTCTTTTCTTTCTATTTCTTAATTCAGTACATTTCGAAAACCTAAAGGAACACGAAGATAACGATACTTTTTATTATTTGCCTATTTATTGAAACCGAACAAGAACATGTAAAGTATATTTTAATTTTATAATAGTTAATTTAATTTAGTAAACCTTTCTTGTCTTATCTCGCTTCAACTTACAACTCCCTACCAGAATGAGTTTTTAGAATCGCGTTGAATGCAAATGAGGAAGAGAATAGTATTAAAGTCAAGTTCAACTGACTTCGACAGACAGAGTTAGGGGTCTAGGACATTTCGCTGTTGCTATTTCACCGTGGCCGTTTCGCCCTCTGGACGTTTCGCCGTGAAGACATATTTGCTTTATATTATTGTATTATATCTTGCCATATTAAATTTATTTAGTTTGATAATTCTGTTTTCCTTTTGTATACTTAATAAAAGTTGCTTGTAATACATATAGTTGTTTATAAGTACGAGCGATAAAGAAATTAGACATAGTTAATTGGAATATTACACCAGTATCAAAGAGAACTGGGGCTAAACCTCTGATATAACAGAATTATATTAAAATTTCTTAAAATTTTAACCGCCTAGGTCAGAGAAATCACTCATACGAGCAGGAAATTCACATTTTTAAGAAATCTGAATGGGAAACGTAATTACTTTGGAATCTTGTCAGCACATTACTCTCTTAAAATGAATATGTCGTGTGCAACGATATATTTGTATAAAATTTTACACGAAAACATCTTAAAATTATTTTATATAAAATGTTTATTAAATTAAATGATTAAAATAAACAGAATTATTAAACTAAATCAATTTAATATAATATGGCAAGATATAATACAGTCGTGCAAAGAAAAATATGTCTTGAGGGCGAAACGTCCCGACGGCGAAACGGTCAGGTCGAAACCGCCATGGCGAATAGTCCCATTCCCGAGTTAGGATCTCTGAGTAGTGCCCGTTTGCCTTAGGGCTACGTTTCTCTAAGCTGTTGTTAAGCTTGGCCGTATTACGTGCCTTTTGATAGTTCGCTGGCTAATTTCAGATTACGGAGCCACTACTATAGAATTGCATTAGCTTCGACTAAATTTCTTAGTTAGTCATTAGTCAGTTCTTATTACTTGAGTTTAAGCCCAAGTGGAGGCTTTGCTGTACGCCCGAAGAAAAGAGCCTACTGTTAATCTTATTTTGAGTGAATAAAGGGTAATTAGCAGATCTCAAGATTACGCTTTCTGTTCTTTGACTAAGCGTTAATTCGCTTACCAGTTCACAAGGTTACTCGATATTTCATTTAACAGGATAAAAGTGAGGAACTCTATAAGCAAAAGTATAAGTACAGATTGAGAAGTATGATAATGCTTGCTTAAATCACGCAAAGGAAGATGCGATAATTCTTTATCCTCTCCGCCACTTAGAGAGCAATTGGGGAGAAACGCGAGTCTAAATCGACAAATCCATGTAGGGACGAATTATCGACAACCTCGTATTAGTTTAAGCATATTAGGAGTTTCGGAGCTCAAAGACATGAGAACGCATCTGTGGCTTCCACGGAAGCCCCCACGGATCTTCTAGCTGCTTAGCTAGACATGCTAATCATTCACATCAAGATAGCAACGCATATGGGAATGCCTTAGTTGCTTAGAGCAAGGTCTTCAAGATGACCATTATTTCAATGGGGCTATAGTTTAAATCCTACAGAGCTGAGCATGTGGGTTCAAGAAAGGAAGCTGTTGTCTCTTAAAAATCAGCTATTAGTTGGATATATTTTTAAATCAGAGCTTTTTGTTCTTCATTGCTTGTAATATATATACTTCCAAAGCGAGTAAGAATGGGTAAGAATCCAAATTAAAATTTAATTGACAACAGTGGAAAAATTTTCATTTAGAATCCTTTCTTTTACAAACTGACTTTCACATTTTATAAACGGAAATGGATGGTGTATTTAATTATGGCAAAGCACACTAGGGCTATCTGCCTAAGGGGAGGGATGCCTTTCGTGGAGGACTTTCTAAGGGAAACTGGCTCGTATACACGTTACACATGGGGAAAACCACGAAAACGCCCATGCAGCCAGCCCGTTCGCGGAATTCGAACCTCGGACCGAACTACCAGTGTTCAGCGACTTTACCGCACGGCCGCTGGTGGGCTAAACGGAAATGGAAGAAGATTTAATAGGTTGTCTCATTTCAAATATTTTGCAGCATATAAAATAGAATATCCATTCCCATTTTGAGGCCAACTAGTGGTTAAGAGTATATTGTTCGAATACTGGTAGTTTGACTTAAAAAATCACTGCAAACATAGTAAAAGATGTTTGCGTGATTTCCCATGTGTAATGTGAATACGAGCAAGTTTCTCTTAGAACGTTTTCTAGAAAAGTACCTCTCAGTTTAGGCCAAAATCTCTACTAAGCTGATCACTGCTATCGTTCCTTAGGACTAAAACTAGTACTTTTATAATTTTTTAGTGTTTTAGTACGTTTGCCAACAGACTTAGTACATTCTTTTTTCCAAATATTGCAATGATAATAGCGTGAGAGTTAAACCTATTGATTCATACTTTATCTTATATGCAGTAGAAGATGGTGCTGAACAAATTTCTTTAACTGCACTGTAAAATGC